ATGTCTAAAATTGTGAAAATCTCGTAAATTTTGATTATGTCCTGTTCTGAAAAACTGTGAAATGTAGATGTTAACCTCATACCTTGAAAGTTTCTCAAGGAAGACAACGTAGCTCTCCAGACCCGCCCTTCTCCAAGTTAAGTAAAGCTCCTACCAACTTATTTAAAGTCCTGGTATTTCAAAATCCTGTACTACAGCATGGTGTGTCTGTGATATTCTAAAGTCTCGTAGTGGCACAAAATGTGAGCCGAGAATTCCTCGCCTACCTCACAGGGATTTTTAGCCACCCCATTACGTACAGTGCTCTTCAAAAGGGTCTCCCCTACTTATTTCACGAACGGGTCAAGTTAGGAAGATGAAAAACTGGATCCTATTTTCGAATACGTTTTTGAAAGTAATAGAGGATCTTGTGGTACCTCAGTTCAAAGCTTCTTATCAGTATTTTGTAACTCCAGAATATAAAATCACTGTCTCTCAAAATGCCTGACTGGGAAGCTACCAAAGTTGAGTGCTTTTGTATATTGAGTCACTTAAAATGCAACAATCATCATCAAAACGATTCAGTATGTTATATCAATATTTCTCTATTGCAAGGGCCTATCCGAATGTACAATAAAATATCAGACGTTCATGTTAAGAGAAATTTACAGGTTTTGACAGTTTTTTTTTCAAATGGTATGTTTCAAACATTCGGTTAGACCCTTCCAAAAGAACAAGGTTGATGTAAGCGATTCAACATTGATTGCCGGCCAGCTCGACATGTTAAAATTCGGTGATTTTATATCCTAAGGTCATAAAGTACTCCTATGGCGCTTCAAAACGAGGTATCAGACGCGCTTCCATTTCATTTAAAAAAATGTTCCAAAATGGCGACCAGCCGCCATCTTGAAATTTTCAAGCTATTTATGATTACATCCGTTCCATTATCCTGAATTATAGCCTGCTAACTTGACCCGTTCAGATAATAAATAGACCTTCTTGAAAAGCACTGCATAGGCGGCGGCAAGTCCTATTGTGGCCAGTAAAACGTTCCTTCATACTAGGCCCTGATATCAATTCTTGCGCCTGACATATATTTTGAATTTCAAGCCATGGTATTTCGAAGTTTAAACCTCAGTACTTAGGTCTCATTGGGCCCCTTGTATGTCCTCCTCAAAGCTGGATCATCAGGCCCCCCTCGAACTATTGAAAAAGATGGTGACACGGCAGTTTCCCTTACACTAGCTATAGAAGGCTGGAGCCAGAATAATTTCTAGGAAATGTGACCTTCGCTCCGATGTTAATGCCCTGCCCTGGATGTTGTGTGGGTTGTCTGTATCTCGCACGTGGGTGCAATATCAGCGATGGAGCTGGTTCATTATATCAGTTACCAGTAGATGGCCCGTGGCTGAGTACAGTGTTTGTACTATGAGGTCTGCAAAGAGGCTCAAAGATATAGTTGCCAGGCTTCGCCACTACTACTACTACCTGCTACTTCCTCGCTAGGTTAGCAGAGGAATTATTTAGCGCACAGACAACCAAACGTATCATCCCACATGTTTTTGAAGACTTTGTGGGTATGCTATTTTAGCACAGTTGTCAGTACTGTCGTCTGCTGAGCACGCCAATTATCTTTTATAGATACCTAACTACTAGTTCAATTTTAAGATAGATGTCCTATTTCAGGGAGTCACCATGTACGTAGTTTCTTGTTTTTCAATGTCGTCCTGACAAACATAATAATACGTAATGTTTAACGAAACTCGATCATTGATTAACGCAACTGATTACGGTAGGTCCGTTAAATCGGGTGTATTGTTGCATGACTATTGTAAACCATTGTCAATGCCACAGTTGTTCCTTGGAGTTAAATAAATACAGACATTCTATTCGAATGACTTTCCTTACTTTCAATTAATATATGCTATGCATTCTTAATCATATATATCGCCCTTAAATGGTTGTTGGAAGAATGTTTACCACAATGGAAAACTATGTCTTGCCACCCCAAAATTAGAGTGTATCCATGTACGCTGTCTAAAGCGCTATAACCAGCTTTGATCCTTTAACCGAACTTCATTGCCTTGACAGCTCATTCAGTCCGTCGATATTGATAGGCGATAGGAAAGGGGAACCCGCGCTATTAACTGTCAAAAGGATCAAAATGAGTAGTACCTTCTGAGCTATAGAGTTTCCAAGAATTACCGAATAGGTGCTAATGGCGTGAGATGTGCATATCATCCAAAGAGATGGAATCAAGTGCATTGATAGAAGTTTCCTCGCAGTCATACAAATCAGCTAAATGTTCTAGATGTACGGAAACTCTAAGGGTTATATAAAATGTGCCTGATCTCAAAATATTAGAGCTTCCTAAAAACATTATGTATCGACTACGCCCTAAACTGATCAAGAGCTCGAAAAGTGAAATTTGGGATCATTCTGTTTTACGTTTTTCCGATCCTCAAAAACTACACAAAATTTTCGACACGAAGGTCATGGCTTTTAGTGGCGTACATGTCACGTAACGTCCAATCAACATATTAGCAGGTGCAATAGATCCCTTTAGACCTACAATCTACACCGAGGTCCACACAAATACGGATATCTCGATTTGGAAAGAAATCAGGTAACTCAGAAATAACATACGTTCGACCTGTGCCTGCAACAAAGTAACGTTTATCATAGATTATAAAAATGTTTTGTAGACATTCATGTAATGTTAAACGAATCTGTTAAATGATATCGAAATAACAGTGAGTACCATTAATTGTGAAGTAAGATTCCCGTGTCATATTTTCCGGCTCTTGCGTGAACGATCTAGGACCAATTTTTCAACTTGCGGGATCACCGGATCCACGTTCTGGAAGACCAGAAATGGAGCAGAATCCTCCTAGAATGCGGGTTAAACTTATTTGCCTGTCCCTGCCCTAATTGGACTTTTCTTGGCTCAGTCTTTTATGGACTGTTAGCTACGCCTTTAGTCACGCCAGAGAAAGGCTCTAGACATCTTTGGAAAAGCTTATCCGCCTTTTCATTTCTCTTATGTCCTGGTACCAGAGATGGATCACTTTGTGTCACTTTACAACCTTTTTGGGTGCTCACGCAATGCGAGCTTAAACGTAAGCTTAGACTTTGTATTGGTGTTTTGGTACTACTAATCTTGTTTACTTACCGAAATATGACCTGTTTGAATAGCAAAGTAAAGCTGCATAAGCTGAACACCTTAGTGACTACAAACTCGCGGTGCAACTGATTATTTAACATACACGCACTGGTTACCTACACTTTTTGCACTTCAATTATCTATGGTGAACTGATTGGTGCTTTCATGAGCAGAAATAAAGCATTGTCTTCTTCAAGGATCCCGCATTTATTTGCATATATACCAATTCGATTTAAAAGCTTTATTATCTTACCCATCCAATATTTTTAGTTACACCAGTCATTGCCTTAATTGTGTTTAGCTTCAATTTCATACGAATACATCTTTTTCACTTTCGTCCTTCCCCAAATTGCAACACCACGTAGTTAATTTAGCTTCAAGCTACTACATACGTCGTTGTTCGTTAACGTATATTTCTCATGTTCTTTCACGGTTTTTGGCGGGTTAGTGTAAAACTGCATGAATTACTTTCCTACATCCATCTCCCTCACACATACATAGGCAATCGGTCTCTATGCGCGACGTGTGTACGTGTAAAGGCAGACATACCTTTTCTAGTTCTGTCTCACTGCCTCTCGTTTACGTATCAGTCTTCCACATTTATGCTTGTGGCTGTAGCTTTGTTCCATCCAACCATTGAACTAGTTCTGAACTAAACAGGTTATGCGCAAATCGAAATAACCATTCCAGCAGAAAATGAAGCTGACTACGTAACATAGGCAGCAGCGGTGGCCGCAGTAGTAGACTCTTCGGTCTCCTGATCAGTCGCCGTGCGCTGTGGGGGTTCGAGTCCCGTCCCAGGAGAAATTTTTCACTTGGCTATGGATGTTGTGATTGTCCGTAGGTGGTAGACGGTCTCTGACTGTCGAACGTGGAGGTACCACCCGGCGGATCTCGTAGGCGGAGCCAGAATCTGTACATGTTGCATGCACACGTGTTCCCTCGCCAGAGTCTGTGTGGCATCCCCTTTTCCCCTGTATCCCCCTATAGCCCCACGGTACCCAATGGGTGTTTAGGCCTTAGGCCTTCGTGGTAGTTGGAGTATAAAAAAATACAGTTCTCTGTTTAAACAAATTCCGAACCGGTTCTGAACTGGTGCTAACAGTTCTGGTTCTGAGAGGGAACTAAAATATGAGCTGTTCATAGCTTGTCTGTTGTCTAACTCGTTAATTTTCTAATATATCAAAGCTATATCTTCAACTGATTGTAAGAAGTCCAAGAACCAGAAATGAAAATTACATAGTCAAGTGTTTATAGTTTTGATGAACTTCTTTCAATTATGCTATTATTAATATTAATTTTACATACATTATAATGTTATTAACATTCTGTTTAATTTTCACATCTGCTACTCTAGCACAGCATGGTGCCTCTAAAACGGCGTACTATATTTTTTTATATTTCTCCAAGCTAGTCATCTCTTGTTAAATCTGTCATCTCGATTCCCCTTTTTTAAAAAACATTTACAGTACGATAAGATGTCAAACTCATGCTCAGCGTACAGAAACTTGATAATTTTAAATATTAAGGTTATGTTTACGAGAGCGAGCTATGCAATTCATTGTTCCTATAGAAATAGTTCTGAACTAGTTCTCGAGCATGCGCAGAAAAATAATTCGGAATTAGTTCAAAACTGCTTGTTGGAACAATCTTTGTCAGTCTGAGAAGATGCTTGGGGCGTGCGATTTGTAGTCTTCAATAATAGACATAGTAGTCTATGAGAATACAACTACAGTGTCTGTACTAAATTTATAAAAGTATTTTCACAAAGTGACTGCATTGCGCCTCACGGATCGACTAGTGTAGTGTGCAATTTGCCTAGGGAAGTTAGCAACAGCACGTGGTACCATTAGTCAATCCGTTTACTTATTTCGTCTGACAATCTGACGTAATGGCCAAAGACCGTAGAAAGAAATCTAGATATGTACTAAGCAAAATAACATCTCATTTCAAGTTTGGCCTCAAATGCTAGGATTACCACCAGCAAACTGTTTTCGTTACTTGTATCTCAATACATATTTACGTGACGCTTCGAATAAAATCCTTAATCAGTATTATTTATATTCATAAGGAATTTCCCTCGGTATTTTTCACACCTTGACATGGCTGAAATTGGGAAATAATTTGTATACAATGTTTAATTGTAATCGTGGCATATGCTATAGTGTTAAGTCACATGGTGCTTTATAGTCCAATGCGTTTCAGTCACAAGGGAACCAAACTACGAAATAAATTCAAAATGGAATCTATTGATACAGTCTGTGAATCTTTAGATGAGTTTGGCAAAGTAATCATACATATTTGGTTACCCAAGGAAATGGCATCAAGTAGGTCGACTCTGTACCTCTCTCGTAACACTGTCATCAGTTCATAAAAGATTTTTATTATAAGAAAAAAGTTAAGTACGATAGTAGGATACGAAAGAGATGATAATATTATAAATATAACGATAAACGTGAAAACCACAAACCCATCGAAGTACCACCCTGTACCTTCTCATTTTTACTACAAGGGCAGTACGTGAACAATTCGATATGGGCAACAATGTCAGGATAATATTAAAGCCACTTACTTGGTGACGTAACGGCAACGAGTTATCCCTCTTTGGCAAGCGATAAGGGCGATACGATCGGATTGTCGGGGCCAATATCTATTTATAGAAAAATGACTTGAGTACCTCCCAAATTAAAACTGACTCATAACATGCACTACCTGAGGATTACATTAATTATCCGCAGTGATGCCAATTCATCATTATTTACTTTTTTTTTATCATATACTGGTCCGCAGAACCTAAGAATGCGGGCACCCCCCCTGGGACATACAGTCCTGGGACACACAGTCCACTTAGGCAATTTTAAGCACACAGCAGCCTGTGTGATATCCAGGCATATAGACAGATATGCTGAGTTTAACGATTGTTACTAAAAAGATAGTCCAGGAACCGGGATATCACGTTAGCCAACGCTCGTTGTGTCAATACCCCAAATCTCCGACGTTACCCCTGAATCAGAGATAACCGAGCAAGACGACCATTTAAAGTAACAACCCCTTCACACATGCTGCCATGAGATACATTCAGATGCCAGCGATTACCAAGAGAAGATGGTTAAGCGGTCATTCATCAGACCTAGGACGCCACTTCGGCCAAAGGCCGCCGTGTCAACATCCCAAGCGCTATGACGTTTCCCCTGGTAGAGGAAACCGAGCAATAATTAACATAACCACCTAAACCCAGCAATCGGGCACTAAAGTCCCATAACAACCCCAGTGACTGGATGCACCCCTGTATGAGCCACCTAACTTCCCTATCCTTATACGCAATTATTGAGTCCGTAAGCCAATGATAGACATACTATATGAATACATGATCCAAGCATCTTTATAAATATGGATATACGCTCAAAGCATCTTTGTAAATGTGGATATATGATCAGAGCCTTGTTATAGTTATGGATATATAATCAAAGCATCTTTGTCAGTATGAATATGCTCAAAGTATGTTTATAACTAGGGCTATATGATCAAAGCTTCTATATAAATATGGCTTACGACACTCATGATCATGAATATAAAAGTGTTATAGTTGTCAATCCATGCAGTACAGTAGAATAAAGGAAACAATCAGTGATCGCTCACCTTTCAGGTAACCAAAACACTACACCCAATAGCACATCAACACTGTAATCAAGTCCACAAAGCGCACTACTTGGACTGAGAAGCGATCTCCTCCACGCAATAATTGAACTGCATCGCCCGTATCTTTAAGAGATTAAGAGAGTTTATCGCATGCAAAAATGTGTTTGAGATATTTCGTAAGCTTACACGATCATACATACCATAAAAAGGTAATATATCAAGTGAGCCAAACAGGCTCATGCCCCATTTGATAGCACTGGGATACTTCCTGCCTTTACTGAATGGATCGTCCATCTGGCAACGTCAGCCATGCTTTGCTGGTCTGCCCCAGCAGTGTGGTAGAGAAAGATTAGCCAGTAGTCTCAAAAATGATTTTGTGCACACCGGAGTTCGTAGCGCACGGCAAGTGCGACTTAGACACGACACACCTGTTTGATATTTCTCCAAGTTTTACGTGGAAATGTATGATATATGTTCTAATAGGTGCATGGAATTAGCGGGGTTGGAAACTGAGATACACTCTTCCCGATCCCGACAACCTCAACCCAAATTTTTGACCTCTACAATTTTTTTTTCGTAAATAAACAGAACCTTTCGAAACATAAAAAAATGAAATTTAAGCGGTTTTTACTTTTTTTCGTTTTATAAAATTTACTGAGCTTTTTCATCTTTGGTATGATTAAATTTCATCAGTATCCGAGTATCACTTTTCAAGGTACAGGCAGACCATAGTTGGACAGACAGACATACCTACGGAAATCAGTGACGTGGTTTCAATCAGACACTGCTCCCAAATAGGTTAGACGACTAAGTTAGGTTCTGATGGAATCCGTATATACAGACTTGTGATGAACACTTAAATTACAAATATATAGTTGTCATAAAACAAAATTTCCGTTGAACTCTGAACAAAACATAATTAAGCAATGAAATCTGGATACAACATACAAGGATAAAATGACATAGAGGCCATAGTTGCTAGTTACTTAGCAACACTTTGTATGATTAGATACACGCATGAATATGCAAATATATCTTAAAGTGTGTGACACAAACGTAATTTTCATTTCCACTTCAGTAAATATGTCTACTTGGAAGAAATTCCTTACAAAATAGTTGCGGTAACGTTACTTAGAGCAACTGTAAATCTACATTATTTCAGTCAGTCGTGCAATGATAAAAAATTATAAAATGCATTTCTGATAGACTAGTATCTATCAACACACAAGTTAATAATCAGCATTTCCACACCTTTATTCATCCAGAATTAATTGAATCTCTCATAATCTGGGTTTGGTGCAACCTTTTATCAACCACTTCTGCAGTAAAACGTTACCTCACGATTACACTGCCATACTCATCACACCTTTACTCGTGTTTTTCTTACTTCATGAAAAACCTGCAAGCTAATACTGTGACAAAAGAGCTCAAGTTCTTTGTTAACCCACATGGACCTGACCGGACATTGATATAACCATAAAATATAAATCTATTAAAATTCAAACGCTAAATATACTGAGTGATAAAAAAGGTAACCACCTACGTATGTTTATTCAAGAATTGTTTACATATCGGTTTATCTTGCCATGAACAACAAGTGATAAAATAGTCAGGTTTTCTGTTAAGTTTTCGTTTTTCGACAATGCCAGACCGGATGTTGCCAGAACATCATTAGCCTTCATATATCAACATCGCATCAACCGTTTGCCTTGGCCACCACGATCGCCTGACCTATCTCCAATTGAACATGTCTGGGACATGATAGGTCGCTGGCTGTTATCGACCACCTTATCAGCACGACGCTCAGGCATGTCAATGAGTGTATAAGAAATCGTGGATCCTCAACACGTTATTGAACTAGCTTTGTCACTCAGAATACGATATAGAGATAGTGTCTCAACATTTATATCATTAAAATTCAAGGAAGTATTCTCAGACTTCCGATAAGAAAAACCTACATTCTTTCAAGCATTTACAATTTGACTTTGCATAGCTGTTCTCATTTTTATACATTATATACATAACTTCAAAGCTTTGGATAAATTTTGCTCTTGCGCTATTCAAAATTCCTTAAAATACAGGCCCTAAGGAGAGAATATCTAAATGAGAAAACAGTCTTTAAGGCCAGAAATTATCTGCTGTTGACTGATGCTTCCCATTATAAGTTTTCCGGCTTTCCTTCAAGAACGGTTTTAGTATTCCGCAAATAGGTTCGGCAACTTCTTGGCATTCCTCCTTCTCCCTAAAGGTATTTTCGTTGTAAGAACAGCCATTGTATGAATTCTTGACACATTTGAAGTCGTTGATACTGTAGGTGTACACATCAAAACTAGAAGCGAGAGTGGAGCATGCTGCTGTATCACTTACAGGTGTGCTAAGAAAGCAGTCTGAAAATATAAGTCAATAAACAACTGTTGAAGGTCATACTTTCATTTCTTCCTTTTGAATATTCTCATTAAAAATTAAATAAAATACTTGAAGTCGATACTTTCCAGATTGCCGTACGTCCAAAGTTTTCTGCTCAAAATTATTTTTGGAGATTTACGAGTACCGCAAAGACGCATTAAAAGAAAGTTTCAGCTTTTTCCCTTTATGTTATTTTACATATACTAAATGACATATAAATCCGAACACCCAGTTTAAATGGTTTTATTTTAATAAAATTTTGTATAAGTACTTAATGAAGCATAATAAGTAAATGATAAAAATTTCAAAATGATTGCACTGCTTTAAAGCCCTTTGACCTTTAATAATGTGTGGATGCACCCTGCTGTGCTACGCATTCTCCAACGCGCCTAGGCATGCTTCTGATCAGGTGCTTCTAGAGTCTGAGGAGGACGTTGCAAATTGAGCAATCCCATCATATCCCACACGTGCTCAATTGGGAATAAGTCGGGAGATCTTGGTGGCCATGGTAACAATGTGACATCATTATGTTGAAAGAAGTCCATTGTGACTCTTGCAACATGTGGTCGGGCATTATCTTGTTGGAAAGTTGGATCTGCCAGGGTGTCAAGATAGGGTAAAAGATGGGGTTATATAACTTCGTGGATATAACGCTGCGCATTCATGTTACCTCTGATGAAGATTAAAGGTGACCTGGAACCATAAACTATAGCACCCCAAACCATAACTCCAACAGTGTGATGAACATGTCTTTCAACAAAAAACTGTGGATTCCTCCTTTCACCACGTCGCCTTCTAACCCTGGCACGACCATCGTGCATGCCTAAACAAAATCGAGACTCGTCACTAAAGACAATACTGTTCCATTCCTGATCCCAGAGTGACCGTTGTCTGCACCACTCAACGCGATTGCGTCGGTGTTCTCGAGTTAAAGGGAGGACCCAGTGTGGCCGGTATGAAAACAAGCCAAAACTTCTCATTCGTCGGTAAACACTTCGCATGCCAATATGTCTTCCGTGTTCTGCAAACCATTCATTTGCAATGGACCTGGTAGTGGAGAAACGGTCCCTTAAGGCCAATAATCTTAGGCGGCGATCTTCACGGTCTGTTGTTCTACGACGGCGTCCAGTGCCCCTTGCTCTTTGCGTACGGCCTTCTCGAAGACATGCCTGACAACACCTAACCACAGTATCTACCCTTCTTTGCACTCTAACTGCAATTGCCCGAAAAGAAAGTCCAGCTTCCCGAAGTCCCACTGTACGGCCCCTATCAAACTCACTAAGTTGACGAAATCGTACAGGTCTCCGTACTCTAGGCATCGTAACCGATCATAAAGGATGTCAAGAACCAAAATCCGCCAACATTGATTCTTTACTGCGGCTGAAATATTCATTTTTAGAGCGTTAGTGAATTGAAAAAAAGCAGTATAAAAACCGGAATGTCCAACTGATAAGGCTGAAAATTTTTTCACTTGTTATTTACAGTAAGATAAATACATTCACCAACTTTTATTAAAATAAAACCATTTAAACTGGGTGTTCGGATTTATATGTCACATAGTATATTTATGTCACTTCCGATGCCAGAAGAAAAGTACAGCCATCGCAAAAAGTGCATCAAGAACCGTTCACAAAATACTTTTACTGTGTTGGATAGGAACTTAAATGAGTACGCATGTCGAAAACCCGAGCAGTAATACTTATATTAAATAGATTTTGTCTGTGTCTTTATTCCAATTCTGCCAGTATATATTCTATTTAAAACTTAAAAGAACTTTTTTGCCGAATCAAATGTTTTCTCCACGAAACATTTTCTGTTCTATCGATTGTATTTACCTGTCAAATCGAAAGCCTCACAATTCCACTTCCACTTCAACGTTATAGTCAAATATACTGCAAGAATAGTCACACAGGGTTGCATGTCTCATGTGACATCAATACTAAACCTTTCCCAGTTTACTCTTTCAAAAGAACTACTTGTACGCTGAAGTGTTGCTTTTGATGATATGCGTAGTACTTTTGATACATCATTGGAAAAGTAATTCAAAACGCATTTATTTTTATTGTTACGAGTATTAACGATTGCCCATTGTGTTTGTTGAATTGAATAGTAACATTATTCTGGTTTATGCCTCGGCAATACCACACCGTACCTCATGGATCCCATGTCGAATATGTTCTATAGAGAATATGATGCAATATGTTTCCTGAATCACTGTTATTAATAATTATTTATGTAACTAGATAAGGAAGTGATTCCGCACAGAACGATAGGAATTTCGTTTATGCTTTGTAGTCAAAGAAACGATGATCCTTCTTTAGAAAATTTCCAGACTAGATGCGGTACACAGGGTTCCAAATCTACGTCAGATTTGAATCAAATTGAAAAAAACAGTTCTTTTCTTTATTACACGGCTATCCTTAGAAGAAGGGTTATGTTTTTTTAGCGTGTCTATCTTGACAAGAATAAGCCTGTTTCACAGGCTACAATCCAAATAACTTGATGGATTTTGACATATAAGGCGGTGTTAGATTCTCCATAGCAGTGCGAGTGGAGCTATATTAATATTTTATGAAAAGAAAATGTCGGATTTTGATCGAACATTTCGAACTCATGTTGGTACATAACGGCTTGATTGATATTGACATTTAAAATTAAAACTTCATTCCTTTTTGTTACTGTAGTCAAGTTTCTGTATTTGTAATTTCTTTATTCAACCATAGAGTTTACTCAAGATTGGGTTTGGTAATAACGGGTGATTTTTTAAGAGGTATAGGATTTGATTTAAAAAAAAAACACAAAAAATTTGAATAAACGATTAAATCTTTATTTGAGTCGACAGAACGGTCGATAGAATTTAATGTTTAAAGATTATTTCATGTGAATGTTGGCCGCGGCTCCTCCTAGATGGCCCATGCGCAAGGTCCAATTTTGGCACACTCTCTCCAACATATCGGACGGTATCTCACGAATAAATGCTTCAATATTGGCTTCCAGTGCGTCAATCGTTGCTCGTTTATCCCTGTAGACATTAGCCTTAACATGGCGGCCCCACAAGAAATAGTCCAACGGCGTTAAATCACTCGATCTAGGCGGCCAATTGACGGGCCCCAAACTGTTCACCGAACTCGCCTCTCAATAGGGCGATTGTTTCGTGTGCGGTGTGGCATGTGGCACCGTCTTGTTGAAACCACAGGTCAGCCAAGTCCAGCTCTTCCATTTTGGACAAAAAAAGTTTGTTATCATCGCACGGTAGCGCTCGCCATTCACAGTTACGTTCCGGCCATTGTCGTCTTTGAAGAAGTACGGACCGATGATGCCACCGGCCCATAATCCACACCAAACAGTGATTATTTCGGGATGCATTGCTAGCTCTTGCAATGCTTATGGCTGGTTTTCACTCCAGATGCGGCAATTTTGCTTGTTATCGTACCCATTCAACCAGAAATGAGCTTGGTCGCTAAACACAATTTTTCGATAAAATGTGGATCTTCCTCCAACTTTGCCAGCGCCCATTCACCAAATTGGAAACGTTGTGGGAGGTCGTGTGGCTTCAATCCTTGCACCAGCTGTATCTTATAAGGTTTTACACCCAAATCCTGTCGCAAAATTCTCCAGGTAGTGGAGTAACAAGGGCCCAATTGCTGCGAACGGCGGCGAATCGACATTTCACGGTTATCACTAACACTGGCGGATACAGCCGTAATATTTGCTTCAGTCCTCTCTCTACGTCTGCGTGTTGGTGGTTTAATGTCCAATAATGTAAACTGGGTTCGAAATTTAGTCACCAGCTTCCGAATAGCTCCCTCAGTAGGCCGACCAAATTGCCCATAAATTGGAAGCAGTGCTCGATGCACTCTCTTAACCGAGCATGAATTTTGATAGCAAAATTCAATAATTTGCAAGCGTTGTTCGTTCGTAAGTCGATTCATGGTTAAATTATAGACCAAACTGAACAAGTTTGACAATAACACAAGAGACGATTCACGCGTCATCTGTCAAAAACAGTGTTGCCAAAAAGATACTAGCAAAAAAATCACCCATTATAACGAGGAGCACATCAGACACTTTTAACCTCCCTAGCTCTGCTGGCACATATGCAATCTTTTGTCAAAGTTTATATAGAAAAGCAGCAATCTAAAGAAGACTCTTTCTGGGGAAGGCTCACGAAATTAGCCTTTGCGACTAAAAAGTGCAATGTCACCGCTCCATGTGTCTAGAGTGATTTAAGTATGAAATTTGATTGGACATTACCAAGCGTCAATTTTGCCTAAGTTTGAATAAAAAGATAGCAATCATCACTAGTTTACTTGAGGTATGAACTTGGAAACCAAGTGAAGTATTCTACATTGTGGTAAAGCACTCAACTGAGACTAAAATGTCTGCACTAATGGTAATGGTCTGTCACTTTCGCTAGCAGTTTACTTCAAAGCAGCTTTATCCGTACCGTTATTACCGATTTATACCTATTTAATTGTCTGAATAGCCAATACGTAGTGGGATAATTGAATTACAGGTGATAGATCTGGGTTATGCGTTCATATCTGGGTACATATTGTATAGATATAGACAGATTCTGTCTACCTTATTTGAATCACAGAATCTTGTAGCTAAATATTAATATCAGATTAGTAATTAAGTATGCAGGATTTGCGCTGATTATAGCTGGGACTCCTTGATGACTGATGAATGAAACTTACAACTTTTGATGGATGGATGCTTGAAATGCGTCTAAATAAGGGAAACAGTTAGTTTGAAATCATCCCAAATCGCATCACTTTACGACATTTTTGTAGATGAGTCAATTATACTCGTAAGAGATATCTTCAGTACGTAAGAGGCATCCAAATCACAATAAGTAATTAAATCAATATAATTAAATACATAAAGCGTCAGCGTGTAGGTACCACATTTCGTACAATACGCCGTGTGATCTGTGTACTTTAATTACAAGTATAGGAGCTTCCTATATCGACATTTGTTAGGATAGTTGTGATAGGAACTATTGGTGTTACGATATAATAGTGAACTCCTGCGACATATAGGCCCAACTTCACCAACAACAGTTATTCTCCACCTATAGGGTAACAGACCGTCAGATACAGCGAATGAGCTTCAAGTTCCAATCAACAAATTTTAGCAACCAATAGCTATGAAATGTTGAAAACAAAATACTGTCAAAGTATGAGATGACAACTTGTCATTGAAACATCACCAGCTTATTGAATATTAAGAAATTACATATAATTCAGTCAGAATTTTAAGAAATGTTTGAATTTTGAATTAAATTCATGTTTTAATTACTATTGTTGATCCTTTATTCATGTTTATATTATTTTCTTCAATTGATATGTTATACTGGGTGTTTTTTCCTTTAAACCTCTTGCAGATAGCCATTAAGCACCTACTTGATGACAGGCTCTACCAAAAGATATTGCTCGTTTCCAAACATTCATTCATTTACTTGCCGTTCGTCAGAACCATTATGGCACCTTAGATATTGATATTCCCACAAAACCATTAAGGTTTTTTTGATATCCATACATCCATAAAGTTGAATATTTTTCGTTGTTCAGGAACTGAACAAACATCCACACTATATTCGCAGCGATTAAGAAATTCCCAAATATATGCCTTAAAGCTACCAGCAAACCTAAAACCTGCAAAAAAAACTACAAATTTGCCATATTTTTCTTTTTTCACGAGTACACATTCTAGGTTATATTTATATTAGACATTATCTGGATACAGCTGATTATTGCATTTCCAGGAGTGACACATGTGTGGGATCTGTCAATTCCATGCTATTCAATGACAACACGGTGACTAGTGTGGTTATCAGCGGCCATTTTGTGAGGGTGCGACAGGGTTGCCAGATTGTGCATTAATATCCCGTTTCACCCTCCTGGTCCCAGTGGAATAAGTTCCGCCAACTGTTGAAATATACTCTACTAGGCTTTATAAGACTATTCGTGACATTTTTCCCAAAATCATTGCACACAACTTGAAAAAATGCAAATAAAAATTTATAATTATTTCTATGACGCCGCAATATAACTCCGTCGGTACCTTGGGTTATACATCTTGACAGTAGGGATGTTCCTATATTTAGAAGTATCAATACATTTCACGAGTATCGTCATCTTTCGATCCGGACTGTGTCAGAAAGAGTGACTGCCATTTGGCTGCGACATTACCCTGCCAAATCAGACATATCTTTCATCATTTTCAAAGAAATTGTACAAAATCTTCAGATTTGTGAAGCTAGCGAGTTTCACTTCATACGTTCTTACCAGACATGCCCAAATCATCAGTTGCTGCCGTGATACTCATCCCGACCACTGCATCACCACGGCTAGGCGACCTGTATGTTAAATTTGTATTGATAGGGCAGCGGGTTATGCTATAAATCATATGTCACAGTGTTTGTGCACTGTTTGCAACGGTTAGATGATACCAAAAATATTTTCATAAATAGGAGATCTTTCCCATTCCGGGTCGAACAATCTACCAAAGATGCTTATAATCATGATACCTAGTAAATTTTCACGAAAAAATTCAAAACCAGCGCCGTTAGACTTGGCAACCCTGCGAGCGACAGATGGATATCCTGCCAGTCAAAAAAGAACAATAGTAAAACAATAAACATTACTAGTTTTTTTGATTTTTGGACTTAAAAGCCATTATTTGTGAAACATGTTTCACAATTTTTTGTCTTTGTCCATAGTAATTGCATTATGCATCAGGGAGATGTAGGGATTGACACGTCTTACACATATTATCTGTGTTTTAAGATGGAGAGGACATAATGCTTTTATTGCTTTGGAGAAATTCATTAACCCATGAATTAATAAATCATTACTAATACGACGTAAAGGAAGATGAGGAATTGGATGGAATGTATTATATGTTCTATTTTCTTGCAAAATACAGACAAATCCACACTATTCAACAGGTGTGTAATGATAACTTTCAGTATATTGAAGTTGGTAAATTCGAGAGTGCCTTACATTAACAAACGG